TAGCTCCACATTGTTTTCCAGGCACCAAAGGAGGATTCTTGAAGGAGACCACCGCTGCGTTGCCTGTGCGAAGCAGGACTCTGTGGTCTCGAACTACGGGTAGAAAGCGTGGTAGTGCTAAGTACACTGCTCTCAGTTCGAGCCGGTTGATATGGTAGTCCCAAAACTAATGCGGGGGCCATATTCTTGGGCTTGTTGGCCCAATAGATGCGCTCCCCAACCCTGGGGGAGGCATCTGTTACCAGGGTAGACGTCCGCCCAGAGAGGGTGAGGAGCCACCACCTGGCTCTTTCCTCCCTGGGGGCGCGCCACTACTCTTCCCTCCCATAGAAGGGTATAAGCGCTTGCCTCCTGGCTGACTCTGGCTAGCGGACGATGCCCTAGGGCGCTGTGTTTTCGGTGCTTGGGGTGCCATTCGCTATCCCATGGCAGGGCCAACTGGCTAGCGGATTCGATCTGAACCCTCTGGTTCATTGCACTTCGAAGCTCCGAGACTGTACCCACCATTCCCTGAACAAAGAAGGTGGAGAATGTCCAGTCTGCGTCACTGAGGTGAGGACGTACCCCGGCTCAGCTTGTCGGCGAAAACACGTGCATCTAAGGGTGTGTCTAAAGCCGCGTCTCGTAGCACAGAAGTGGCCCCGGCCAAGAGAGCATGTGTGTCGCATGTAGATGTGCGGTGGCCCACCAGTAAAAATGTCACCTGGTCTAGGAGGCTGGTGCGTTCTGCCTCCAAGGTCTCCAGAATCCTGGGCACGCACAATAATGCGCTCAAGCAACTCTGCCCTCAGGGCTGGATGGGTTGTCGTCAATTGGCAAAGACACCCATGGAACGCGGCTATCCCCCTTTGCCAAATTCGTGGTACCGGGTCTGGGGAAGGAGCCTTGGAATCCGGTTGGGGGAGTTTTGGTCTCATCCCACGCTATGGGGTCTGATCCCGGAACCACACCGACCGGGTAGCGTTTGGTCCAGTGGGAAGCGTTGCCTGATGTTATCCCCACCCGGGGGCCTTAAACATTACATCCTCCGTGGCTGACCAACGCCGCCCATCAACACCGTTTGCATGCTCAGCACCCCACTCCGCACTCCAACGGGCAGGGAGAGACGTGCCGACGGGGTTGCTTTGGATCCCGACGCCAGTGATTCCATAAGCGTTGAAGCAACTTTAGGTGGCCGCTTTAGGATCAAGGATGAGGGTATCTACATAGTATCACTGGGATTGATGATACTCCGCCTCACCCCAAAAGCATGGATCACCGAGTCATACAGATGGAAGACTCTGGGACTGCCCGGAGTACCGGCTGTATCAGACGCGACGGAACTGTGTCCTCTTTCATTTTAAATATGTGAGAGGGAGCGTGTTCGACTGTGCTTCTCATGACAGGGTCAGTAAGAAATGAATCAAAACCCACAGCAGAGACCGGACACAAGGATAAATTCGGTACCATTGCACCGGTACCGCGTGACGAACCCTAGCTGGCTGAAAGTAGGGGGGGGTCAACGTGTGCCCTGCCCTGCCCTGAAAGCCCTGCCCCGAGATCGGAGGCTTGGCTGCCAGCACCCCGTTGGCATTCAGTGCCCGAGGCTCCAGAGGGGGCCCGGTGCAATTAGCCTGAGCCTCGGCTTCCCCCCAAAATCGTGGGAGAGTCGCGACTGGGAACGGGGGTTCCCCGGAAGAGACGTGTTTGAATGCAAACATGCTTTCGTGTCTCTTCCTGCTTGCCCACCAAAGGGACACAGTGGAGACAGCTCGCTCCGACTGCGTCTGATCTACCCTCAACTCGGAGGCAAACCCGGCGCCGTGCGAGGAAGGGTCCACAAAAGGACTTGCAACGGGCTCCATAGGAGTAAACCACCACCTGAAAAAACAGACTGTGAGGATGCCCTCCGATCAGCTGGGGAGGCCGAGAAAAATATCGGTAGCTCCACCGTCGGGCCTCTTACTCAACGTCCCGGTACACGAAGTACCGGTAGCCGAGCGCGAGGACTTTCCACTCATGCAAAACACGCAACTCACTTTAACCGATTTGTTTACTGGACACGCGACATTGCTCTGAAAGAAAATCTCAGGCCTCAAAACTCCAGTGAAAAAACACACACCTTCACACAAAAAAACCCGAACCCCGCACGTAGCTACGACAAAGTATCTCAGATGCGGGTTCTATGATGGTAAATTCTGAATATAACTACTGCACGGTCGACTCGAAACACAAGGAGATCGGAAAGAAAAATGGCAACGAGCCCTGGTGCTGTCATTAAATCTATATATTGCTAAATACATTGAAAATAAAAGACGACATGCATGAGGGAAACGAAATACAGTTGTAAAAGGTGTCGCCATGAAACCAACATGTGGTTATGTAGTGGTGCCGGGTTTTAATTTCTTTGTTGTGGAAAAGCATAACACACAAAAGGGAAAACGACACGAGGGTAAAAAGACAAGGAAAACTTATCCTACCAGCTAGAATGTCGGATGCCGTGGCTGCGGCGACGACCCACGCTAGAAACCCGGACAGGAAAAGCAACAGAGCCGCTCAGAACCATTCCCCGACGAGGCAGAGAAAAATGAAGAGTGATTGACGGCTACCTATGGCGCTGCCATGTGGTCTCGGTCACGTGGGTTCGTGACCTAAGGGGTAAAAGAATCTTGAGGTCATGGGGCTTCCCATGACCTAGATTGTATTTCTCCGTCACCGGCAGAATCGCTGATTAATGCCTACAGTTCAAAATAGTCATTTTGACCGGAGTCTATGGTGGGTAATTGAACGTAGTGAATTTGAAGATATTATCATGAAATGAACAAATCTGAGAGAGGTCTACCCAAGGTACATATACACCAAGTATCAAAGCATTCAGGCTTGTAGTTTTCAAGAAGAAGTCGAAAAAGTAAAACATTGACATGGACGACGATGATGGACGACGATGGACAATCACTCATATGATAAGCTCCGCTCGACAAAGTCGACAGCAGAGCTAAAAACAAGTCATGATTGCTTTTCATGACAATTTTACAAAAAAAAAAAAACATGTTCATAAAAATACAATTTACATACAGTCCGAATTTATGGTGTAAAAATGGGTAGGGTCTGTGGAAAAACAGTTGAAGACAAAATCTTTATCATTATTTTCATTGTGGGATGTTTTCGATCGAAAGTAAACTCTTGATGTCAGGTCAATTCCTTCATTACCCAACTAAAATGCTGTGTTCTGGTGCTGAAGTGAATTACCACGATGTTAAAATGTGAGCAGTGATTTTTTACCCCAAAAAAATGGTGATTCACAATTTTCGAAAGGTAAAGTGGAGGATATATTTGAACATAAAATAGTTTACTTGTTCACACCCCATTCACCATAGTCTCAATGGATAGGATTATTCGGAAAGTAAAACTATGTCAATGACCATGTTTCATGACTTTACGGTCACATTTTGGCATTTTGAAAGCTACCACTCAAAGATTACTTCACTATTGCAAAATTGGGATTCATCCTGAGTAAATAACAGAATAGAAAAGGGGCGAACCATGTTGCGTACATTCACTATGTAGTTTAAAATTAATGCCAGTTTTCTCAAACGTATGAACCAAACTACTGTACCAATCACAATTTTTATGTAAAAATAGGAGTGGGATTATATTCGGGGAGGGGCTTATGATTGGGGAAGTACGGTATGTAAATAATCTATTTTCTCAGTCATGTTCTGGTCATCCACTACACAGGAGTAAACGAATAATTTTTTTATGTGGAAAATATATGTTTGTAAGGTTATAGGAATCATTGATTTCCCTCTCATTCTTCCTGGAAATTTAGGGTAACTAACATGGTCAAATAAAATACTAAATGAAGTGATATGTGTAAAGCACTAACCTTGTAAAAGTCTCTTGGTAATGCTACTCCCTGGAACCTCTGAAGGCAACCCTGCAATAGAATTGTGGATTTGCTATTACATCATTACATGGTGCATACATGTCATAGTAAGTGTGAAGTACATGCATCACTAATAATGTAAAACATATACCTTCCTCAGATGACATATGCACATGTTATGTAAATAAGAAGTTTTTCTTTTGTCAAAAAAAGTAATATTTTAATGATTCAGTAAAACAGATTTTTGGTTTATATGCGTTCCTTAGAGTAGGTATGAGAACACAATCACTCAACTTACCCTTGATGAAGTTTTACTGATGATGTCATGCACCTGTCAATTAATAAACAAAATATTAATATTACTGTTTACATAAGATTAATATCAAACTCTAAAATCATTAGGTATATTCATTCATTATTTAAATAAGTAACAATAAATTTAGTTTGGGAAACAAAAATCACCACCAAATCATCTTTGAATAATCTCTTTTCCACACGACAATGCCATTGATATTTTTTACATTGCAGGGAGTCATTTTGGCAATACATGTATTCACATCCTGCTAGGGTGCTATCTGTTTTATTGAGAAATTGCCCCCCCCCCATTTGACCACTTAGGTCACTCTTTACAAAGCCAAGATGGCTGAAGCTAATGTCACAATCTCTTTTGCATTTTGTCTTAATGATATAAGGAAAATAGATGCTTTTTGATTTTGACAGTTTGTTTTAGTAATTAAACCTTACTGCTGCTACAACTAAACACTTGCTTATTGCAACTAAACACTCGCTGCAACTAAATGCTCGCTGCAACTGAACACTCGCTTGCTGCTGCAACTAAATCCTCACTGCTGCAACTAAACACTCGCTTGCTGCTGCAACTAAATCCTCACTGCTGCAACTAAACACTCGCTTGCTGCTGCAACTAAATCCTCACTGCTGCAACTAAACACTCGCTTGCTGCTGCAACTAAATACTCACTGCTGCAAATAAACACTCACTTGCTTATTGCAACTAAACACTCGCTGCAACTAAACACTCACTTGCTGTAGCAACTAAACACTTGCTGTAGCAACTAAACACTTGATGCAGCAACTAAACACTGCTGCAACTAAACACTCGCTTGCTGCAACTAAACACTCGCTTGCTGCAACTAAACACTCGCTTGCTGCTGCAAATAAATACTCACTGCAGCAAATAAACACTCACTGCTGCAACTAAACACTCACGGCTGCAACTAAACACTTACTGCTGTAACTGAATAATTGCGTGCAAATCCTGTATTGGTAACCATGGGACCATCACTGATATCTACAAAATCACCACACCTATATAACACTATAGAAGACCTTCCACATTCTTCTATTTGTTGCTTTTTATATCTGTAAAAAAAATACACATTGGTTACACAGACATGCCTGCAAGATACAATCAATGATATCATTCAATAAAATGAACCCCAAAATATGTTTATAAAATATAATACAGGGGTTTTCTGAACTGAGGAACAGGGGTGCAGCGCCCTGATACTCTCGGCTGGTGCCCTCTTACTGAAATGCCGATTGAGCTTTCAAGTCATAAATATATTTCTTGAGCCACACATTTTCGTGCTGCCTGACTACATGAAATCTTTCTCAAATATATTTTTCTCTGTGAAAACTTCCCAGCAACACCAGCTGACAATGTGTCTGGACACCAAATACACTAAAATTACTCCAAAAATATTACAATGGCGATAGATACACCGTTAAAACGGCGCAGAAACCTTCCAAAATGGCATTTCCAGGTCAATCGCCTGTGTGTGCTGTGTGTTTATTTTTTCTAGAAAAACCCCTGATAATACACATTTCCACATAAAATAATAAGCAAAAAAATATAATGGTCATGCAATAAAAACTAAACAATAGGTTTGAATTATCTATGAAGAATACCGTAAATATAAGCTCATGAATATTCATGAGCTAATGTCATTTTCTATAAGTTGAAACATATACGCATTATCTGGTCAATGTAATAATACATGTACATATTGATGGGCTGGATAAGGGTTAAAGCATAGAACAGAACAAATAATTCAGACTTTCCAGCATCTTACAATTACCCTGTCAGAAACTAAATACGTTTTGATGTTCGTTTTGATAAATTCAGATAATTCCCCAACTTTCAGAATGATTCATAGTTTGTAAATTAAAAGTAATGTAAATACTTCCTGGCATGTCTGTACATGTTATACACTGAACACTAGCATAACAGTATCAGGAGTTTTTCTAGGAAAAAAGTGCAAGAGGGAGCACTGCAATTTAGCGGCGCCACCAAGTGAGGGAGATGGGGTTCTCTCTACCAGGGTGTGGAGTTTTTGATAATTCTAAGTTAAAATGGAGCATTCTTTGGCTTCCTTGGGGCCAAAATTACAATCAGACAGGTCACAGTTAAAGACTGTGGCCACATGTGATCTCTGGTCAGTCAGAATTTTATGGTTGCCAGAGGATCTGCTCTCCAGGGTAAGAGCCACATGGCCATGGCATGAGGGCGCTGCGTCCCTGTTCCTTTGTTTAAACAAATTTCTGCAGTATTGAATTTACTAATCACGTGTATGACTCTACCACTAGACTCGTTAGCGAACTTTACTTACTGATTGTGTTTAAAGATCTGTAAAGCTATACTCGTGTCTACTTCTAATCTTTCAAATGGAAGCGACTGTTCATATAAGCGGAATCCCTCCTGACCCAAACACATCAATTCTTTGGTTGTAGGTTTCCAGGAATCCATTTTCAAATCAGCATCATACGCAAAACAACCGGCAGTGACTGCAATAACAAACATAATCAGAATTTTATAAATCATCAAAAAAGCAAAAAGACATTTATTTCCTCCCAGCAACGGTCGATGAGAGCCAGCAATGCCAAATAGAATGGAAATTTATATGGAGAAATAACACTGTACAATGCTGAATTGGAGGTAGAAATAATACGATTTATAAATGTGGTGTAACATACACAACACAATGCTGAATTTATAAGTATTACATACACAAAAGACAACTTTACTAGGTTTGTCTTGGCTAACAGATTTCATTGTTACATATTGAAATATCTTACCAGGAATATCAGGAACTTTGACCAATTCAATAAAATAATCATTTTTAAATGCACTATCTATTATATTTCCCAACATATGTGAGCATGATCTCCAGTATGCCTACAAAAAAACAAACAAAAATTATTTAATTACATAAATACATGCAAATGTCATAAGCAGTGTAATTATGTGAAATATTATGATGGTATATCATTATTTCTATGAAAATGAAATAACTTGAACAAAATTTTAAG